TACATGGGTACAAAATGTTCAAATAATACGTAAAAAATCTGTATTAGTAAATTCTATTATGGTACCTCATATAGACTTGATTATTTAATATGTGTAATACCCCAATGTCCCATTGTTACTATACCAAACAACATAGGGGGTAAAGAATTTACTTGTTCATCCCTTTTTCGTTTCCTTAACAATTTCTAACAAGGTTTGAAGTTAATTTTATAAGTTAAAAATTTAAAAATAATGTTAGTTATTTTAGATCTTACCTCGGCCGCAGTATATACTTGTACCAAATTTTGGGCAACTCCCTTATCCATATCTTGATTTTTAGCCTCATTAATCAATACCGGAACATCTTGTATAACAACTTCATAGTCTAGATTGCCGTAACCTCGAGATCCATCAAGTTCAGACTCCACGTTCAATTCCGTTGTCGGATCTCTATATTTTCGAATGTGTTGAACTGCCATGGTCATAAAAATTGATATGTATTGACGCACTGTGGCTTTGTTAGTGCTAAATTTATTATTTAATGCGAATGCCTTGTCCTTAAGTTGTTTAATAAAAAATTCAATTTCCTCCTCACTAAATGATGGATTTAATTCGGGAAATTCTTCCAAGCTTAATTGTGGCACTGAGTCAATAGAATCAAAAGTACTCTTATAAATCTCAGTGCCCACTTCTTTTAAATTCCAATCTCCAAACGCCTTCTTCCCTTTGTTTGTATTTTAAGGTCTAAAATACGTTCGTTTGATTCGTTTGGTCTTGTTCGGGTCAATAAATTCATAAGTGAATATTCGTCCTCGATTTTTTCATCTGAGTTACCGTATTTCCCCAACATGTAGACCCCCCGTGCAATGTACCCTGTAACGATTTTGACAGCCAATTTTTGACTTATACCCGGGTACCTAAGTATGATGCTATCATGCTTCTGTACTCGGGAAAACATAATAAAACATATTCATATCCATACAATATATCCCCCCACATGTGTACCCGGGGTACTAAAATGGGTTAGGGAAATACCCCGGGTACATATGTTGAGGAAATACGGTGTTTTTGTCATTTGAGTTTTTCGTAATAATGAAAATAATATTGGCTGTCGCGAGTGAAACAAATAGTCTCTTGGCTTTTTTTTGAAGCAAATCCCAGGCTTCACTGGAATGGGGTATTCGGCATTTACCAGTACTATGCAAAAATCTGAAGTTTACTACGACTGCAAATCAGTGTGGTCAGTAAGTGTAATTATTTGGTTGTTTAATATAAGCAGAAAAAAATTTATTTTATACTTACTGCTTGAATCAGAAATCTGGTAGCGTACTACGAGTAGATTCATATTTGTTGTGCTGTTCACGAAAAGTTGTAAAGAGGCTCCTGGTCGAATAGGTGTGGTGCGATCCTCATAATTTAAAAACAGGATATCATATGGTTCGACATTTTTTAACACTGGAATCTTTTCTTTGAGAACGTCCTTAAAATCTCCCAAGTCAGAAACTTGTGATAAGTCAGCTTTCAATTTAAGAGGACTTAGATGACCCTCAAGGAGAACCCACATCTTGATTATCATATCCTGGGTGGTTGGACGAAGATTTAAACATTCATTTCCTTTTTTATCGTTGGATATATTTGGGTAGTGCTTCGATCCGCAATCCGACTAATTCCGATAATTCGGATTAAATGTGGATATCCTTATCCGTCAATTTTATTTCGGATTGAGGATGAGGATTATTCGGATGATTATTCTTAGTGGATTATTATTTTTCTTCACTAAGTAATCGGGGCTTTACTTTGAGACCCAAATTAGAAGGTAGTTGAACCCTAACGTGATCAAGTTCATTCTACCCGTTATCTAATGAAAACTAAAGGATACGCTTCACGCGACCTTTTTTTTGCCAAACTGATAAGGCGAAGGTTGAAATCCTAATGTTTGGATTGAGGTCATTTATTAATTCTGTTGTCTGAAAAAAAAAGTGACCAACAGTATTGTTTAGTGAATAATTGAATACTCATTAAATAATTTCAGGTATTCTACAACATTAGCAAGGATCGTGTTTATATATTAAACAAAATCAATTGGCCTCAGCAGAATATGACCGGCATTGAATTCGTGGCCTACTAAGCCCCTTTCATGCTAATTCAAATCCTGGAATTGGTACAACTCATGCAACTAGTCAACCTACACGTCCTACAATGGATTGGAACCATCATATTATTCTTAGATGTAGTCTAGCAATAGATTTTAATGTTATACTTACCCAATTGGTTTAAGTTCAGCTTATTTCATACATTGCTTCTCTTGCATATATATGTCTTAATATGCTTAATATATAAAATATTTTTGATGAAGCTTTGGTAGCGAAGTTAATTTATTTATGCATGATCATCATGGCGTTAAAAAAAAACTTAATATATTTTTTGCATAAATCAATTTTAACCAAAATCTGGGTAAATTATTATTGCCAGAAACGAATTTAAAAGATTCAACTCAAGTAAATGTATCAACCAAAGCTCAAAAAGCAGAATCAAATAAAATGGAATGTCTTTATCAATATGCCATTAACATGGAACAATGAATCCTGATAAGTTTAGGGATTGAAACCGCGAAAGGCGGTTAATCGCGTCGCTTAATTACAAGTTACACGATTAATAATCGTATAATCGTTCGATCATTTAACCACTTAACTGTAATAACCGTATATTTATTGTAAAATCACGGGAAATCTCCAATTTTAGAGAATCTCAATGAATATGTAGATACGTTAGAAAATAATCTAGAATCTCGGAAATTTTCATATCATCATCACAAAAGTCATGGGGTCACAAACCTTAAGTTTTTACTGTTGAAAAATTATAATATTGCGTAATTGAATCACAGTAAGAAATTGAATATTCACGTGAGGTATTAAACGATTGATCGTATAAAATTTAAAAAACGGTAAGCGAATAATTTAACGGTTTTTAAACCGTATAATATAACTAAATGGTTAAACGAATAACGATTCCAAATTTTTCGAATTGTTACTTTTAGAGAAAGGTATCTTATCTGTTAGTCATTATTTCGAGCGTGTATGTTGTAGGTGGATTTGGAATCTCTAATTTCGTGGATTCTGAATCCACTTAATGTTAAGTAGATTCAGGATCAATTTAAGTGGATTTTGAATCTCAAAACAACTTAAGCAAAAATAGAATTTTAAAATTGTAGCAATATAAATTTCGATAATACTGTAATAAAGAAATATGTACGTACGTGTAATTTTATAGCTAACCACATTGCATTATCACATCAAATTAGAACGTCTATATCCATAAGAATTTTTTTTGCATTTATCCTTACAATTACATTTCGTGCCAGTTGAATAAAGGCTTTACGACGTCTTGCAAGTGACTTTTCCTCAAAATTTATTAACGAATTAATTTATTAAAAACTTGCCTGAAATAAAATAATGTTCTTGTGTCGAAATTTAAACTTAAATTCTTTCGCGAAATACAGTAAATTATTTTATTTATGATTGCTAATATTCGATTATTTAAATAATATTTTTAAAATCTGAAATCGAATCAAGTTGTTTCTGGATTCGAAATCCATTAACTGAATCCTAAATCCACAAAATTCCGAATCCACCTACAACATCATGTATACAATTAAATAAACCTTCTATATCTATTATTTGTAAAGTTTCGCTTATTTCTAAAACTTTATATTCATTGCATCATTCGTTCAGCACACTTTTTTGCGACACTTGTTACACATGCATGATAGAACGTCTCTTACATCAAAAATGATTTAAATTCATATGAGGTTTAGAGGTTCTACAGCCAGAGCAGTAATTACATGTAATCTAATGACAATAATAAGTTATTGGCGGAGATGATAGTTAAAGTAGTTTAAACTGTTGTCTCGGCCGAATAGTAAAATTATTGGGCGAAATTAAGCTGCCGGATAATGCAAATTTATAAAGTACTCAATACAGTGTTGCACTGGGCGCACAACACTACGTAGTACAACATTACAGCATTATCGGCATCGCATTTTAATCACGTGTTCATTTTTTGGTACTGGGGAAGATTTAGAACAGGGACAATCAAAATATTTTCTTGACGACCTTTGGTTTCTGTATTTCCCTGGTTTGGAACTTGATCGAAAGATTTTTGACATGTTCAAGTATACTACCGGGTTTGGATTACATCTCTCCCACTATTCTCCTACTAATCACTAACGCTAACCAAGATGGTGACATGTAATTATTGTAAATAATTTCAGCCAATAGAAACTTTGCAATTCATGTTAAAACCGGATTTAACATATGAAAATTAAATGGCACTGCCCGTAACACGAAAAAAAGATCTATATAATCGCGTTTGTTGTTTTTCAAAACTCTAATTAAATAATTACTGAAATAACAATATACAGATATATATAAACTTCTTGTTTATTCATTTTCTTCTACTAGTTATTCAAAATGCCACCTATCGTCCGTAACGCAAATCGTCGAAATCGTTATAACCCGACTGTCCCAAAAATTGATAAACTGAAAACTCTTGGAGATTGGGTGAAACGAACGTTCGATGTTGGTTAAAGTATTTAAATAAATTGGTTTTCTTTAAAATATTCTTTTATTAAATTAATTCTTTATTTTTAGGCGTATCTTAACTCTGAAAGCATCCTTAGGTCATCATCCAGCTCGAAGTTATACTCTTTTCCATCGCTTCCTGGATCTTTTCCTTCTGAAGACTCTCCACTTCATTGTTACCTTGCAAAAAAATATTTCAAAATTTGGAAAATTAATACAATTAAACGAAAGAAAAATATAGCCAAGGCAGTGGAGGTTTATGAATTTAATAGAAAAGCAAGTTGCTTCTTGCTATGGATGGAAATGGCAAAGAAACGTCGAGTAAATAAATATTTAATTTATAAATTCTATTTGAATCTATGTGATTTTTCTTTTTAAATTTTATTTTATTTTTCTTTAGTACCTAAAAAAAATTTTGTTAAGGCAATCAAGTTTTTCTGCACGAGAAGAAGACTTGCCACCATACAAAATATTAAAAGAGAAACCTGGTGCACCGGTATGATTTATTTTAAATTATAATTTTTCGATCAAACATCTACTGACGTTTTTTTCAAATAGCACAGAATACGAATTCACCAAAAATTATGTTTTGCCAATCCGCTCGAAGATATATTTACATATGATCCTGATGATGATCAAATTAACTATGTATCAATTGTTCCAGATGACGTCATTATATTCGATGAATGTGAAGTGGATGAAAAAATGGTGAATAAAATTGCTGATTTTTATGAATTGAAATATCTACGCTATGCACAAAACCATAAAGTTTGGGATGCATGCTATAACCTATATAAATATGGTTTCAGAGCACAAGATCCTGTAATAAGAAGATACTTGTTGCGTTTAATTTGATTAAAATATGTATCTCTGTCTGTTTTGTGTACATAATTAGATATTAGATATTGCTTACATATCGATATAGAATAATATAAATTTAACGTTATCTATTATAAATATGACTACTTTCAATTATTTGTATTATCGCTACTCTTTACGAGATGCGAATTAACATAAACATTAAAATGAATGTAATACAAACAAATATTACAACCCCCCATACCAACCATGTGGTTTTGCCGGATTGTGCTGCATAAGCACCTAGCCTGGTCCCTTCTTTTTTTAATCTATCTAAATTAACACCAAGAATACTTTGGGCCTCGTCTATTGTCTATTATGTTTTATTTAATACAATATATTTTAATTCTATAAAAGTTTAAAAAATGTAGTAACTTGAACATAAAATACGAACCTTTTCATCTTTTGCCAATATATCGCCAAACGTCATCGAATTCATCTTTAACTTTCCTGCCATTTTTACTAACTCACTTGTAAGTTCGTCTTGCGTTTTTTGGTGATGTTGTAGAACAGTTTCAATATTTGATGTGTCTTCATGCTCAAAAGTTCTATAATAGAAAAAAAACTTTAGAAAAAATCATTTTTGAATATGAATTGGGCGGTACTTTCTAAAAACATCTAGATTAACCTTCGTTGTCTTGTATCTGATCCCGAAACATCCGAAGAAAATAATTCTAATCATGTATAATATAATAACGAAAAGTTAGTATACATTAAGTCATGTAATATATATCATCTGTCAATACATACCCATCCTTTTTTCGGTGTACGTTTTCATATCATTAGGTTCAGTATTAAGTGGGTGTGTGGGTGGCTAATAAAGTAAATTGAATTGTGATTTGCGACTTCATAATGTTAATATAACATAACCGTATAATAAATAATAAATTGTAGTCATACCTGCATAAGTTCTTCTTTTAATTCTTTTTCAGCCTGTCTAACCATTTTTAATTCCAATTGATTTTCTTTATTTTTCTCTTCTTGAGATTGATGTGCATGTTTAACAAGACGCGCTTGTGAAAATGCTCGAGTTACAGGTGATACCTATAAAGCATTAATGTTAAACGCATAAAAAACGAAAAATTACTATACTTTACATTGTACTTACCAATTTAAATTCATCAACTACATCCGACAATCTCTGAATTTTACGCGCGTACTCGCTAGTGGCTGTTTTATCAACCTGACTTAATTAGAAACAATATTATTAATTCAATGAAAAAAAGAATTAAAATTATTATCCAAATAGTTTATTAGACTTACTAATCAGCATCCTTTTCTATTTGTTCTAATAATTTACGAAGGTACTTTATATTCTGTAATTAAAATAAAATTGTGAAACTTGTGTAAAAAGGATAATATAAAAAATGTATAACAAAGAGACTAAGGCATACATACTGTTATGAATTTCATTTTTTCGGGTCCACGTATTAAGCCATTTTCTTCAGAAACTTGTTTTTCACATACTGCCAAAAGTCTTTGAAGATTGACTTCGGTTTTGGTTGGGGAATGAGTCGCTGTTAACGTCATAGTTTATTTGACCTTGAATGATTACCGTTTATCTTTTATAAATCTAACAAGTCGTGTAACAATGATTAGTCGTACAAATACAGAAGTATGAATCATAGATTTTGCGCATTGGGTTAGTTTTTTTTTTTTTTTATACACGATAAAAACGATCGAAATGAATTTCCGTGTTCTTCGCAATGCTAGGGTTCGACGTGATATAAAAACTCGAGAAACTGTTGCGGCTACTGAACTAATTCGACAAGCCTATCGTTACATCACGCGTAACGAACAATTACCGCAAAAAATTCGACAGCAAGCGCAACTTATGCTTAACTCTTTTCCTCGTTATGCACGTCCGACTGCCATCAAGAATCGTTGCGTGGAAACAGGTCGGGGTCGTGGTATATTTCGAGATTCAAGGCTATGTCGCTATCAATTTAGGCTGAAAGCTTTAAATGGTGATATCCCTGGAGTTAAGAAAGCTGTTTGGTAGGGTTGCGACCCAACCCTTTTTTTTTTTTTTTTGAATTATGGCATCACTACACAGTTTGGATTTTGGAATCAAATTTCTATTTCACTCGGGATAATAATCAAAACCAAAATATGTCTCATTTTCGGTCAATAGTGTCAAACTTAAAATCAATCGTATCTGTTAAAATCAATTGTTAAAAATTTTTTACCTAAGGATGATTTAGAATATGTCGAATAAATATGATATTTTATGTTGGATCTAATACACAGTTGATTAGACGAAACCCAGAGGCTTCGACATTGACGAAAGTCACAAATGGATTGACCTAAAATTTTAATACGAAAAACTCTAGAAATTGCCGAAATTGTCATAATATCACTTATATCGAATAGTTTTATACTGAGTTGCGTAGCTATAATGCTTAAATTTACCAACAATTATGAATAATAAGCATCATAATCGTGAAGAACCTTTACGATTATCATGAAACTATATTTGGAGACATTTTTCTGATTACGTATCAAAAATTCGCTAATTTTATTAACACTTCTAAATAAAACAATTAAAGAATTAAAGATACTCCAAAAAACTAGCTAAGTAATTAATGTTTGGTATCTTAAGTAAAAATTTTCAGAATCCCCAAAAACTTATGCTAACTCAAATTTGAACCTTTACACCTAACCTCTATAATTGCATCTTAGCAGTAAAGTTAAATACTATATACATTTTATATTATTTGACCAATTGCCACATGATGTGATTCTACAGTTGTTTTTGCTTCTCCAGGTTCTAAAAATAACCAACTGCGAACTTCAATATCATACCATTCATGCCAATATCCAACTATAGCCATTAATTCAGAATTACAGTATGATAATTAGGTCCATTATCAAATAAAATTTATATTTGAATACAACTTCAAATGCTGATGCTGTAAACCAAGCGTCCTGCTTGGTATCTCCTAATTGTTAACGAACTCATTGTTGTAAAACATAATACTGTTTCTATTGAAAAATCTTTTTTTCAATATGGGATGTACCTTCCGTCACTTCCAGATAGTACAGGAACTATATTAAATAAAAAATTAATCATCGGTGACAGAAGAGGAATTTTTAATTCGAATTTCGATGGCCACAGCGATAGTGGTTTGTCTGGAAGAAATGAGGCATCCGCCTCTTTCCCTAAACCATTTGCTTGAGTTCCTTTAAAAAGAAAAAAATTAACTTAATATTATGAATAGAACTGAGATAGCTAATTAATTAACACTCACAAGTTGCCCTTAGATTAAGTTCTGTCATTGGTTCTATTACAACGTCAATTGAAATATTTAATAATTGCGCCAATACAAACTTCATGTAGCATGTTTGGAAGTTTGTAGATGTAAACTTTAAAATTCATCCATTCTCATATTAAATTCATCAGTCACATTTTCAGCAAGCACGTATGGAGGCCTGTTATAATAAACCAAATCTCCAAATCTCTATTAGCTCCGTTCCATGTCGTATCATCTGCATAGGCCACTACTGCCTGCCTATGCTTTCGGATGAATATTTCCTTTTTTCCACAGTTGGCTTCGAAAATATTGAAAACAGATATAATCTGGCATTTGTTTTAGAACAACGTTATCAGATATGGGGTGAGTCAATAGAAATTTTTATAATAGAAATTTTTTAGAACTTTAAACAAAAATAACACCTTAACCAAATTTAATATTTATGGTTTAATATTTGTTGAATAAGCCAATCATGCCATAAAAGCTGTCTTTTTCATCCTGTGAAACAAGTTTCTATTAACTACTTTTTTGATCACGTAAATATAAAACTGGTAATTCTGTTTTTGGGCCCGAACTCATCAAAACATTTTATTGATCATGGAAAAATAATGATATTTTCTTCTTGAATATTAGTTAATCTTTGCAATGTTGTGCACTAGGCTATAAAGCCGAACACACTTTCTTGCCTTACTTATTGTTGCTGATCCTGACCCTTGAACATTAAATTATTGAAATATTTTATTATTAATTGCTTACACTTAAATCTTTTATAACACAACAAATGAAAATTAATTATTCCTTACCATCCGGTCTTAAAAATTTTTTTGATGAAAATCTTTGCTCTAATTAGCTATAGCAACACCAAAGGCTCGAGCCACATGACGCGTGCAGGCTGATTAAATTTTTACGGCTAGGCTAAGCCATTAGATTTTTAACAGCTTAGCGGCTTAGCCAATAATATATATCAACATTCAAAAATAAATAACTTTTTAGATTCAAGGTTTACTGTAAATATTTCGACTGTTTTTAGACTATAGAATTTTAAAATTGCAAACTAAATTCTTGGAAACAGAAAAGTATTCAAACGAATAGAGATGTTTACTAAAGCTTATGCATGTTATATGTCAATTCAAATTTGTGTCAGATCAAAATTTCAATACTGAGTTTAATTAGAATTAGGGTGAACCCTATGTTAAGGTAAGTGTAGGTATTAGTAGCATTATAATTATTTTTGGCCTAATGCAAAAATTTAATTCGACGTATAACAGAGATTCAGTTGTAATATTGGTTGTTTTTTTTGCTTTGAATTTTGTAATTAATATCGTTAGCCGTTATTAGCCGGCTGAACAAACTATCAGCCAGCTAAGCAGCTAAACGGCTAAGTTACTGTTTGATTTTAATTAGTTTTTTTAAATAAAAAATAAATATAACCAAATTCCGAATATTTTTTATTTTCGATAAATGATTTAGCGTGTCTGTATTAGAAACGATATTTAAAGTATACCCCAGATTTGTTCATTATGTAATTAATTTAATTTTGCTTGTAAATTTACTGAATTATTTTATTTATAGTACATAGATGATAAAACATCAAAAATGTTTAAAAAAATATATCAAATATATTTTGATTTCCTCTTCTATAAATTTTAACCGGTTTTTTTCATTTGTAACAAATACGCCACGACCATTTTGTCTGCCACCTCAATCAATCATAACTTTTTGTTTTTGATGCATTATCATCACGAAGATCTTACACCGGCCATATTGTTGTGGGGTTCATCTCAGATAAAATTAACGAACTTATTTGTTAAACATATACCGTATTTCTGTGACATGTGCACTCCCCGTGGGCTGTACCCTGCGGTGATTTTGAATGCCAAATATTGATTTATACCCGGGTATATAAGTGTGAGGGTATCATACTTATATGCCCGGGCATGTAATAGTAAAACATTAAAAACATAGAAGTATTCATATGGTATATCCCCATATGAGTACCCGGGTACATGACATGAACTAGGGAATATCCCGGGCACACATACGGTATCATTTAAGATTCATATTGCTCTTTTATTCATCTCAGAACCATCAATACTATTAAAAATTTATCCGCCCATATCAACATTAATGCAAATAAATTAAAGGTAATATATCACCTAATTAACGATCTTAATATTTACTATATAACTAGGATTTATAGATAATGTTGTACGTCAAAATGGAATCTTGCCAGATTTAGAATCAGCTTTAATTGATTCTAAATACATATAAGTTAAACCGAAATTTTAAGTTCACTTAAATTATTAAAGAGTTTTGAGCTAACCTAGTTCTAAATCCACTTTGCATGTCTTCAATTTAAAATAAAAATGTTTAGGAATTGGACTCGATCAAAAACCCCTACCCAGGTTAACTGTCGGTTAGACCTTTTGGTTATCCGGATAACCCGTTTGGCCGGGTAGAAATATTTTTACGTATAACAAAAAAAAAAACTAAAACAAACCTGAATTACAAGTTTGAATAGCTTATTATAAACGCGTTGATAAATAATTTTCATTAAGTTGACATGAATGAGATAGAATTAAAAAGTTACTGTACAATATTTATCCATTAAATTTACAGAATGGAGTTTCAAAATTAAAATTAAGAAATCTTTTTATTTTTCCGGTTTATAATTCGACAGCAAAAAATATTATTTAAAAATCCTATTTATTTTATAAAACGTACAACTTTTTGTTTAATTTTGAAAAAGCCCAATTGGCTCCAATATTATTATGGATGAATGATTACGGAATTTTTTTCATACGTCATGATACAAAAGGTCGTATACTTGTTAAAGAAAGCAGAATGTTGGCATTCTTACAGGAACAATGGAAACAATATACAAAGTAGCGTTCCAAATCGAAAATCAAAAATCGATTAATCGATTAATCGATTAATTAATCGAATTAGACAATTAATCGATTGTCGACGATTAATCGCAGATTAATAGTTAACCGATTAGTTGACTAATCGACTGGTTGTTTTATATGGTATATATCATACTTTGATCTTGTAATTAATGGCACGCAATTATATCCGAGCCATTTTGATATACCAACCAGTCGACTAGTCAGTTAGTAATAATAATACCCCGTGATCTTGATATAGTGATCGGGGTATTAATCGATTAATTAATTAACTAATCGATTAGTTGGCTATAATCGATTTTTAATCGATTTTTAAAAAAATTTTAATTGTCTCTAACATTTACTAAAATTTGCAAATTTCTGGACAAAGAAACATGCACAATTACCAGTTTAGACTAGAGATAATACTATAGAATTTAATAATCGGTAGAGATTCGGCTCGCCAACCAAACTCGGGAACCATGATTTTGGTGTATGACCTAGAACAAATTACCGGTTAATTTATAAAAAAAATAAAATCGATATAATCGATAATTAGTCATGAACTGTAGTTTAGAAATATAGCATAATGAACAATTTTTCTTGACTTTTATAAAAGAAAATTGAAAATATGGATTTAGATGTTGCCTAATATACTGTAGAAGTATCAGAGCAGTTTTGAATTGAAAATATGGATTTAGATGTTGCCTAATATACTGTAGAAGTATCAGAGCAGTTTTGCTTCGTGTCATCAAAGGATCAAATCTCGAATAAGTCACATGTTCGATTATCTATCTATAGCGCGATAATGCCGATTTATAAGATCAAAAAAATCCTTAAACGTAAAAACTTATTTGAATGATAATTTAATAACTATAATTTTTTTTTGCCAAACTAAATAAAAGTATAACTTTCATTTTTATTAATTATTTTTATAATTACTGATACATTAAAGGAATTCTTAAATTTATACAATAACTCGAGTTCGAAGCTTTAAATTGTTAGTAATAGTGACGCACATTAGTCATCGAACAAATTGTTCTCACACCACGAGGAGGTTTGCATCATGTGACCCTAAGGAGTTTAAATTTGTGAAAAAAAACTAAATCTACAAAAAAAGTGTATAATAAAGACAAGAGTTTATTCGATTATTTTTCAATTCAGATCTTTTAAAAAGATCTCGAAATGATAAAATACGATACCGATGGTGTACCAAGTCATCGGTAAAGTGATTCGCATTTTTCGGCTTCTGAAAACGAATCAATGGTAATAACAGATAATTGTGACAGTTTGACCATTTTGCCCATTTTGCCCACACGTTTATGGATCGTTTTGTCACAACGTTGTTTATATTAGTTCATACCCTTCTTTAAACAACGAAACAAAAAAGGGCCGTTTCCCCCCAGAGACAAGACAATCTATCAATCTATAAACCTGCTAATATTGCTCGCTATGGCAGTTTTATTTCTTTAATTGCCACGTAATCTACTGGTAGCTTAGGAGTACTTGTTTTATACACTGTTCCAAAGCCTCCGTGCCTTAGTCAAAAAACTATCATAAGGAATTTCATTCAAATTGTACACTTTAAGCCAGTTCTCGTGACTAAGTAGTTTAACGCATATGTAATCTCAGTACATCGGTTTTTCGGGGGTAGGTTGGTTGAACCAACAAGAAAAAGACGATAACCGGATTATCGAATCACTATAAACAGTGTTGGCAATTCTACCAGCCAAAGCAAATTTGTTTGCCTTTTCGGCCAAAAAATTGGCCAATTCGGCCAAAAAAACATATGAATTTGGCCGAATTGGCCGGTAAAATTGCCAACACTGACTATAAATAAAAACAAGATATTATATTAAATAAAAAATAAAGCAAAACATAATATCGATATGGGATCTTTGTTATTAAAATGACCCTCCGAGGCTATGTTGATTTTGTGAATAAAAAATAAATTTGCCAGCTATCTAGTAATCCAATTTGAATAAACTTTTTTTTATTTTGTAAATCTCAATAGAATCTACGAATGAAAAAAATTCCATTCAAATTGGATAAGGCAAATTTAATTTTTATTCACAAAATCAACATAGCCTCGGAGGGTCATTTTGTTAGCAAAGATCCCATATATAAAACAGAAATAAAAAAAAAGTACCTATCAGCTATATAGCTGTAATTTCAACTTCGTAAACGCGAGAAAACACGATGCTGAAATAAAAAAAGAGAAGTTGAAACTGCGACCACATAGGACGACTGATCAGTAATTCACCCGGTCAGACCGGAATCACCGAACAACCTAACTATGTGGAAGTGGAACAAAGTAACGGCGGAAAAGAAAAAAGAACGGTGAGAAAAAAAAACGATGAGAAAATGTTGACATCAATTTCGGGACCGTGAGAAATGCACCGTCAATTTTGTCACATGCGATATTTTTTGAATACAGAATGCTTCATTTAAAAATACAGTAATCATGAAATCTACTTACTAAACTGATTAATTGATTAATTGGATTATGATTAATGCAGTTTTTTTTTATGGGAATCTTATTTAAAAACAACACTTTAGAGTGTTCGGGAAGGGTTTGGGACGTAGAGTTTTAGTAAAAGTGGCTAGAATTATGTTAATCTGGCCAGAATTATAATTTTAATAGTAACTTTTAATCTTTAAAAAAAAATATCGATATATTCTATATATTTATTTTCGTGATACATCTAAAATTCCTAATTTACTCCTGTAAAATTTATTGTCAAAAGTGTTTGACATTACCGTTACGGACATTTTGAGAAACTCGTAATATTATTGGAACTCTGCATAATCCCAAATTGGTAAATTTAGATCTCAACTTCATTATTTGACGCGAAGAAAATTTTGTGATTGGCGATTTATTTCTGCAGTTGCATATTACACATTCTCATTTCAATAATTAAAAGCTCAATTATGATTATATGATGTACAGTTTTTAAATCTTCCAGAGATTATAGAATAAAATTACGTAATCTAATGATAGTCTACTCTTTTTTATCTTTCTCTTCTATAACATTCCGCAAAGCTTTATATATCTTTGGCACAAATATAAAATTGGTCACTACTATAATGATGGCCAAAACAAGTATTAAATTTATCGCCACCCCTGGGACTCCATATACAAGCGTTTCCAATACTATCCGAATGATATGAATATTATGAACCTATATTTATTAGTAAACCGAAAAAAAAAAGAGAAAAATTGCCTTACCAACGTTGTAAATTACAGGTCTGGAATCTCTGCCACGATGGATAGACACACCATCATAAATTGCTCTCGCTCTGAGAAATTTCTTTGTAGTACTCAACTTTAAATTAGAACCCTTGGTATAAATCATAAGTATAAACATATTAGATTATTATGAGAAACCGATGTCCCAATTTAAAATTACCTGTTCATCTGTCGCGTTATTTTTTTTCAAGATTTTCATTGCTTCTTTGAAATCCATTATATTTAACACGAAGATTGTGGGCGACTTATTGCAAATTTTAATAAATTAAAATTTTTAATTTATCATTAACTGTTCTAATACAAAATGAATAAACACATACCGTTGAAGCATAAGATACTCTTGTCTCATACGTCTTCCCTTCTTCTAATTCGTCAAGAATATACCATTTTTCTTTTTCACTTTGTTCCGTACTTTTGAATTCCTCAGAATTTTTGTAAGGTATGACGCGTTCGTAGCGTTGGATTGTATATGGTGGCTTTAAGGTCTTTACAAAGTAACATTATGTAATTGTTCAGCTATGATTCTTTTAGAATTCACGCTTAAAATAGCAATAATAATTAATAATTAAATTAGCCCACCAAAAGACCTTCTTGCGTACTCCAGTTGTTGACTTCATGGAAAAGTGATTCTAGAATGATTTCTGTCTTAGAAGTAAAAACTTCTTTTTCTGTATTGGCAGAGATTGAATTATAAAACAAACAATACGGGAGCAATAACACAATTAATATATTTTTGAGCCAGGACTCCATTTGTACAGGAAAAAAGATGCTAGTAGAGATATTAATTACCGCATTATATCATCAATTCATGGTTGTACACGGTTTGCTATACGTGATACACCTTCATCAAGTTAATAATCCGTAAAATTTGAGAAACGCAAATCTCTAAACACGAAAAACACGGTTTCAAAATATTTGTATTAATTAATAATTATAAATTGTCAAAACCCCTAATGTTAATAGATAGGATTTCACCTTTTGTACTACTGGTAGTACAGTTAGAAGAATAGTTTAAAAATCTAAAAAATTATATATCTAAAAAATTTTTAAATACTGAAGTTTAGTTTGGCAAAATTTTTTTTAATATTATTATTAATAAAGTTGTTGAAATAAAAAATATTTTTTGATCACTATTTTCTACAAATTTTAGCATACTACCTGTAGTATACTATTCAAAGCAATTTTATTTTTAAAATTATTAAATAATTTTATAAAATAAATTTGAATTATATAAAAAAGATTTAGAACTTATTTAATAAAAAATATAGCTTGTATTATAAGCTTTGTGTTACAATAATAGAAAATTACTATTTTTAGGGGTTCTTTAAAGTGGGCAGATCAATCAAGTCGACAGTCCAGGGACATACAAGTCAATTGACTTTTATAAATATTGACCAATCAAAGCTCAAGCACATAATTACTAAATAATACTATAATACATACTAATAGCTAAAGAACATAACTTTTATGAACTATTTAATCTCAATACTATAATATGTATATAGTGAAACCTGAAAGTTTCATGCTGGCAGGATAATATAAATTAAACCAAACTTCTAAGCAAATATTAAAATTTTAGAATCTTTTTACAATTACAAAACCCTATTTTTTAAGCAAGGCAGTAACTATAATCAAAAGTGTTATTAAATATTTTCTCTTTTATTTACGTATTATTTAATTTGTAGGTATAAGTCTATTTATAAAATAATATTATTATAGAACTCTATTAAATATTAGTTATATTATCTAGCTTGTAAGTATAGTTTATTCTAATATACATATTATATTACTATAAAAATCAATTTTTCTCAATTTGTTTTTTTTTAATTTGGTCTCTTTTCTAAGTACTTAGTCAATGTAATTTATTTATCAAACTAGAAACCGGGAACCGGTGTGAGTCCAAAGCATAAATTTTAAATAAATATATACAATATATCTTTATACGTAGAACAAGTTTACTTATAGCATGTAGGTAGGTTTAAATAGTACAATTTTGTAAATTTTAATATTTTTTATAATTTTATTAATAAAATTATAAAAACATTAAAATCCACAAATATGTACTAATTAAACCTACCTTTATACTCTAAGTAAACTTGTTCTATGCATAAAAATACACCATATTATAATTTTAAATTTTAAGAGAAAAATATGCTTAATTTTAAATTTTTGATCAAAAATCCAAAATTAAATATCTTTTCTCTTAAATTTAAAAATTACTTTTACTTTATAAATTAAATTTTAAGAGAAAAGATGTTTAATTTTGGATTTTTGATTAAAAATTTAAAATTAAGCATCTTTTTTCTTAAAATTTAAAATTATATTGTAAACGTATATTGATACAATGTATTTTTATGCATAGAACAAGTTTACTTAAAACATTAAGGTAGAGTTTGATAATAAAATTTTGTGGATTGCAATATTTCCCATAATTTTATTAATAAAATTTTGGAAAATATTAAAATACACAAAATTGTACTACTTAAGCCTACCTTCATGTTCTAAGTAAACTTGTTCTACGCATAAAAATACATCGTATCAGTATACATTTACCTTATAAATTTAAATTTTAAGAAAAAAAGATGCTTAATTTTGGATTTTTAATCAAAAATTCAAAATTAAGTATCTTTTCTCTTAAAATTTAAAATTCTAATGTAAACGTATACCAATCTGATGTATTTTTATGCGTAGAACAAGTTTACTTAGAACATGAAGGTAGACTTTTGTAGTAAACTTTTGTAGTAAACTTTTGTGGATTTTACTATTTTCTATAATTTTATTAATAAAATTATAAAAAATATTGTGATTTTTAAATTTTTACTTAGTCAATTTCTTTTTAGCTTATAATTAAAGTTGTAGAATACTGTTTTGCGATCAAAATGGTGATTAAAACGTTAAAATCAGCCCAGTAGATTGCAAGATATAAGTATTTTCGTCTTTACTTCTATATGCTTTCTTCTTTATTTATAAAGAAAACATATAATCGCAAAGACAAAAATACTTATATCTTGCGATCTACTGGGCCGAATTTAACGTTTTAACCACCATTTAGATCGCAAGACACGCTCCTACAACTTTTATTAGAAGTCGAAATAAGGTTAACTTTAGCGTCACAGACGGAAAATGCCACAATTGTGTTTTTGATATTTTTACTAAATATATCAAAAAGGTAATTTTGGTTATCACTTAACGTAGAAGTATGAGTTCTACGCTTCGCTTCGGACAATAATGTATATATTTTATTATTAATAAAATTCTTTATGAAATACGTATTACTTCTCTGTTTTTCACTTACATATTAAATTATTGAAAAATTAATTCGTGATTCGTCTAAGAACTATAATAAAATTTGGGGCATATTTAATATAAGTCTTATAATAAAGTGAAATCTGGCGCCACTCTCTAAGTAAAGTTATTTTTTTACTAAGCTAATCTTTCTTCAAGTTCTAACAAAAGTTGTAGAGCACGGTTTTGTGATTCTAATGGTAGTAATATTGTTAAAATTTGTCTGGTAGTTCTTGAGATATCTTAACTTTTCTCTTACAATTTGTAAAGAAATTTTATATGATTATAAAGAGAAAAGTTAAAACATCTCAAGAATCACCAAACCAATTTTAACAATTTTACTACCATTAGAATCGCAGAAATATGCTCTACAACATTTGTTAGAACTTAAAAAAGATTAGCTTAGTAAAAAAATAACTTTACTTAAAAAGCAGCGCCAGATTCCACTCTATTATAAGACTTATATTAAATATACCCCAAATTTTATTATAAAAATTATAAAAAAACTATAGTTCTTAGACGGATCACGAATTAATGTTTCAAATTATAAAAAACTATAAATTATTTAATTAAATTTTTAATATGAATATTTATTAAATAATACATATAACAGATAACTTACTTTATATATAGCATAGCTATTATTGATTATGAGTATTATACCATTTATGTTATAAATCACTATCTTTTTATTTCGTCATTCATGCTTATTATTTTACATGATGTATACATCATCCATACTTATATTATATTGCACTATACGAATTAAAGATGTTTTAAAAAAAAGTGATAATTTTTTTGATTATTTAAAAAATGCCATGAAGCAGCATTTTCTAATCAAAAATTTATCACTATGCCAATATAATGTTATACTATACTTTTTTTAATTTAGCAGTCTTGCCAATACTGTTTATTAGATTAACACTAAGGTATTTTGGTTACAAATGTCATGAGTATATATACAACTATCTATATTTTTATATATATTAGCTCACCCAGTTACTAATTTAAGTACCTATATGTGACCTGCTATATGAGACTTTTACTTCCTTAGTAACCGCCCTGCAATTACATCAGCAAATTTAATAGGGCATAATATTGCGCAATAATTTACGAAGCGTAAGAAAACCGTAATATTACGTAATAACTTTCGCAATATTGCGAAATATA